GCTCCACATAAAGTCAGCCTCCGGTGCCCCCTCAGTATTAGTCTAATTGAAATGGAAGCAGAGGGGTAATAATGCTATAACAACCCGGCGATGCTGGCGCTTGGGCCCCGCTGTGCTGAAACAGCGCTAATAAACCATAAATAAAATAGATGGCTGAGGGAGTGAAGGGCCCCCCCATGTGCCGGCTCATTGAATCGGTGAGAGGAGTGCTCCCCCTCTCAGCGTCGAGATTAGACAGTCATCAGGGGCAGATACCCTCTCCACATGCCCCGCCGCTGCAGGCACTGAGCTCTTACGCATGTGCACTGGTGTAAAAGGGTGGAAGTCAATGCAGTACTCATGAGCAGGGCATAATTACCGGTAGATGCTCTGGTTTAAGGCTAGAGAGAGAGAGGATGCAAAACTGTCTCCTCAAATGCTGAAATATACACCAAGCACTGGGCTGGAATTAGGGTATTTTTAAATTGCGTCTACAGCTCAACTTTTGAAACATCACTGACCAGAAAGCAGGGCTTATTTGGTTGTGGTTCATTTAGGCATAGTTCACTTGTGATGTTCATTTTGCATGCACTTCAAAGAAAATTTCTGTCAGCTAATGCTGTGAATTATACAGGAACCTTCTAATTTGGTTGGTACATTATAAAACTGCTGCACTAGTTGCACCACATGTTAATAGTTTACCAAAAATAAATATTTAAAAAGAGTAATTTGTTTGTGAATCAGAATGGTTACCCTGTTTTTTTTTTATTTGTTAAAAAGATTTAAAAAGAAGCAATTGAAAGAATCATTTGGTCGTGAATCAGTTTTTGTTTTTGTTTTTGTTTTTGATTTATTAAAAAGAACCAATTTAAAAGAGTACTTTTTCGTGAATAAGACTACACTGGTCACACAGTATGTTTTTAATTCATTAAAAATAAACTATTTTAAAAAAAGTAATTTGTGGATCAGACTACACTGGTGATGCAGTATGTTTTGATTGACTAAAAAGAAACCATTTAAAAAAGTAATTTTTTGAGAATCAGACTATACTGGTCGTGCTGTTTTTCTGATTTGTTAAAAAGAACCAATTTATTATAGACATTTGTGAATCAGACTACAGCGATTGTGCTCTGTTTTTGATTTATTAAAAAAATTATTTAAAAGAGTCATTTTTCATGAATCAGATTACACTGGTCACACAGTATGTTTTTGATTTGTTAAAAAGAAACCATTTTTAAAAAGTAATTTTTGAATCAGACTACAATGGTGACGCAGTTTTGATTCACTTAAAAGGAACAATTTAGAAGAGTAATTTTTTGAGAATCAGACTACACTGGTCGTGCTGTTTTTCTGATTTGTTAAAAAAGAGCTGATTTAATAGAGACACATGTGAATCAGACTACCCTGCTTAATTAAATTTTTCCATAAATGACAAATATATTTATGTTTTCCATAAATTTATATATCATATATAAATGGATTTATCTATATTAATTTGTGTATTATTTAATATATTATTTAAAACTGATCTGTTGATCTGTTGGTGATTGTGGTATTGTGTAAGAGTATGCCTTACACAATACTTGCTGCTAGGAAGTATTTATTTGTACTGCTCTTTCATTTTTTATATAACCAGATATCAGTTAAATTCTGTATTAATTTCCCAAAATTTCTTGGCAACCATAAACAAACTACAGTTGCACAGTGTTTACACCTTAAACAAGTGGTGCATCAACATGGATCAAAACTAAATGCCATTATAATCAACCAAGCTTTGTAGACTGTGAGTGCTCATCTGTGACAGTTTGCAGAGTGAACTATAAGTTTTCTGCTTAGTGTCAGATCTTTTCTCTATGTACCGCAGAATCTCGACATCACGTGGGGCACAAAAAATGCTCTTCAGGGGTCTGGATGTCAGTTCTGTATAACCCTCGCTTACTGGCTCCTATATTGTTGCTGAGGTGCACCACCCCATTAAGCAGCTCCTTTCTGCTCAGTGAGGAAAAAGAATTGCAGTGATTTATCAAACTGTGGCTTTCTTAGACATAGGAATCCAACCTGAGCCAGCAGAGGGGGAAAAAACTTAAACAAAAACATTAATTCTGTTTGACAGGGCCCTCTGCCTCTCTAAACACCACCACAGGATCAGAGACCAGAGCGAGAGTGATTCTCACATGAAACACGGCGGTGATTCACTTTTGCTGTTGGTTCAGGATCAGATACGGATAATCTCAGCTATGAAAGCAATACTACAGGGCATTGTATAGCATGGTTTAATTAATGCCTGACACCTGAAAAATTGCTGTAATATTTTAGAGCAGACTCGTTCGTAGCAGATTCTGTGACCTCTAATGTGAGAAAACATTTCTTTTGGGAAGGGATAACATCTCGATCATGTGTTATACACCTTGACATTTTTACCTCTTATTTACAGGTGTAATTGAAGGCCTCATGTTAGCTGTTAGAGACTAGCCCTTTGAGAGCTCTTTGCTTGCTTTGCTTGCAGAAGTGTCAAGTCATCTCTAAAGACTTTGGCTGGAATTTACTTTGCCGTATTGCATTGCAAAATCAGTGTTTCATTGACTAACCTCCCACAATCCAGTTTAACCAGGCATTATGTACACTGAAGTAGGACTGTGTCCAAGTATTTACATTTATTTCTGAACAAAAAATACCTAATTTCTATGTAAATTATTTTGTGCTTTATTCAGTAGGTGAAGTATGCCGGATCTCTCTAGTCTGCTGCTTGAAAATTGTTCATCACAGATATTTTTTGGCTGTTTGTTATTTTCTAGATATGCAAAATGTATGCACATTTAAATAAAACATTTTTTATTAAAAAACATTATTCATTTTATTAAATATGTTATTTATATTTGTATTTCATATCTATATGTAATGAAAGCTTGTTTCTGCTACAGGATAAAAAAGTTAATTGCAGCTTTTACTCTCACATTTCAGACTTGTTTTCTCACAATTCAGTGTTTATGTCTCAAAATTCAGATTTTTTTTCTCACAGTGGCAAGATATAAACTCAGAATTGCAAGTTTTTATCTCACAATTTTGAGTTCACACCTTGCAATTCTAATAAAGGTCTATATTTTGAGATATAAACTCAGAATTGTGAGAAAGTCAGAATTTTGAGTTTATATCTCACAATTCTGACTTTTTTTTCTCAGAATTCTCAGAAAAAAAAGTCAAACTTGTGAGATGAAAAAAGTCACAATAACCTTATTTATTTAATTTAATTTAATTTTTTTTTTTTTTTTTATCATATTTTCATGGTGGAAACAGGCTCAGATAATGTTTGATGAAATCATTTTATTTTAGTTTAGTTTTTTTGTTTTTTACTAAAACTAATAAAACTAAACCAGATATTGGTTAGTGCAGTTGTTTAATGAATTCTCCCCTTAGTGCTGCAAATACTGTAATTTATGCTCGGCCTGTTGCAGTCAGCTAAAGAATTTGAGAGCAGATATGACACGGATCCAAGCCAGGTCAAAGGTTATAATTTATCGCCCCTGTGCAAATTTTCTGGCCTCGGGCTCAGTCTTGTCATTGGTGACAAAATCAACACCCAAACAATGCTCTGAATTTCAACAGCTAACAATACGCCTGCCGCAGCCACATCGAGACAGGGAGAAATGAGCCCTGAAATTTCTGTCATAAATTGCAAAAACATTCTGCAAGGAGGTTGGGTAGGAGGAGACGGAAAAATGGTGTTAGGAAAGCAGTTCTTAGCTCGATGGGCACTTGCGGTCTAACCTGGATTTACCGCCTTGCGAGGACTCCTGCGGAGGCTGTGCGGAGCTTCTGTGATGAAGGAAAAGATGGTCACTTGCTTATCAAAGCCTCCTTCGTATGCAGACATTGTTCTGTACATGACAAATCGCAATTGAATTCCCACTGGCCTTGAATTTTGACCTCTTTCATTTCAAAGAAAAAATATCTGTCTTTTATGTCTTTAGTATTCACTGCATCAGGGCTTGTTGATTTTCATAGGAAGAAGGTAAAATAGGAAATTCCTGCACTGTTGTAGCTTGCAAATGTTTATTAAATAGCAGTGCTTCGGTCCAAGACCTTCTTCGGGCGTTTTGAAAGAGTGAAAATTGACTCGCAAGCCAGCAGTGATAAATGGTGAAAAGGCTTTTGTGGATATTGCTTGAGAAAGTATTGACAGTCTGGTTTAGTGCCGAGAGCCAGGCAAGACAATGGTCAATAAAGCCTCACTTCATAGCCCTATCCAGAAGACCAAAGCTTATGTAAGAGGCCATTTGGGGGAGTTTTATTTGGACCTGACTTGTAACTAAGATTATTAATGTAGACTTATTATTGGAGCATCATTTATTCAAAAAAAAAATGACACGTAGAAACAAAATGAAACATGTCATTGAATTGTCATTGGTCATTTTGTATGTCATTAGATGGTCTAATTCAGACAGCTTGTCTAAGTGGGCCGGAATAAGTTGTAATGTGGACCAGACTTTGTGTAAAAGTCCAAATGGAAAGAGTGTCCAGTTAAAAATGATGAAGAATCTGTGCTAGTCTCAGAGGTAGAGAAGGTTTTGCTCTATTGCGACCATTAGACCAAATGTGAGTCTAATCTATCATCTTAGGCAGCTAATGATTGTCTCCACGCATCCCAGCAGGCCCATTCTGGCTGTGAAAACAGACAGTGTTCAGGGTTCGGGTTTATTTGTCATCTTGGATGTGTCCCTTTCTCACAGAAAAGGTCGGCTGCGGTCTGGAGGACATGGAGAGAGAACATGCATTGGGGACAGACCCTCTGAGACCATATTAAACTGAGAGAAAGAAAGACAGATGGAGTTTGTTAAGATAATAAGTCTTCTTGAAATAAGTGGGAGTCACTGTAATGCAATATTCATACTCCCCACAGACCTTAGTCTCAGTCTAATGATAGTTTTAGAGCAGCTTCAGACGCTCGTTTAAATAAGTGTGGTGTGGCGTGCTGCAGTTTTAATCATTTGCCTAATCAGTTATTCGTTTTCTCTCTATTACAGCATTTGTGTTGAGTTGCAACTTCCCTGATAGACCAGCATATGGGGACGTGTCTGTCACCAGCCTGCATGCAGGGGGAGAGGCCTATTTCTACTGCTTCAATGGATACCAACTCCAGGGTCCCTCCACCCTCACATGCCGCAATGCCACCACACCCTACTGGAGCGGCAAAGTGCCGCGCTGTCTTGGTGAGTCCAAGATATTTTCAATATATTCATGCAGTCATTCAAAAACCCTAAAAAATGTTACCAAAGGCATATTTTATTTTATTTTATTTTATTTTATTTTATTTTATTTTATTTTATTTTATTTTATTTTATTTTATTTTATTTTATTTTATTTTATTTTATTTTATTTTATTTTATTTTATTTTATTTTATCCAAAAATTGTTTTTATATTAAGGCACTTACTAGAAGTAAACAGCACCAGACAATAAACCGTGCAAATCACTGTTCATTGCCACAATACTTACATATTAGTCACTTACATAGGATAGTTCACCCCAAAATGAAAATTCTGTCATTAATTACTCACTCTCATGTTGTTCCAAACCCTTAAGACCTTCATTCATCTTCGGAACACAAATTAAGATATTTTTGATGAAATCCGAGAGCTTTCTGACCCTGCATATCTGGGTAGCAACGCACAGCAACACAACTACCACGTTCAAGGCCCAGAAAGGTAGTAAGTACATCATTAAAATAGTCCATGTGACATCAGTGGTTCAACCGTAATTTTATGAAGCTACGAGAATAATTTTTATGTGCAAAGAAAACAAAAATAATGACTTAAAGGGTTAGTTCACCCAAAAATGATATTTAGCCCATAAATTACTCACCCTCAAGTCATCCTAGGTGTATATGACTTTCTTCTTTCAGACGAATCCAGTCGGAGTTATATTAAAAATTGCCTTTGATCTTTCAAGCTCTATCGTTGTACTCAGCGGGTGTTGCATTCCTTCGGTTCAAATGACGTGAAATAAAAAGCACCCTTCCACAAAAAAAAGTGCCTCACACGGCTCCGGGGGGGGTGAACAAAGGCCTCCTGTAGCAAATCGATGCGTTTTTGTAAGAAAAATATCCATATTCAAAAAGTAATAATCACTTGAAGCTTAAAGTGAAGTGAAGTGACATGTGGCCAAGTATGGTGACCCATACTAGGAATTAGTGCT